TCTCACCACTTACCTCTCTTGCTTTGTCTTTAGAAGGGTACCTTTGTACACCCTTTCTTGTCCCAGGTATTCATAATCTCTTGGGAATTTTGATTTTGTGTGTATGGTGCTAGGCTTCAGACTCATGGTCTGAAACGTGCTTAGCACAGTCCCTACCCCTAAACTACACCTYCAGCCCTATCTATCTTGAGGCTTTTCGAGGAAGTCATATTGCAACTAATCTGGAAATGAACACACACCCTTCATTGTCAAGGTCGATAAGCAGTTAGCGGGAGAGGAGGAAGTTTGGCATTATTGGCTTGGAAATGTAGAATAAAAGTTCTGAGAAGCAAATTCCAAGTTACAACAGGCTCTTCCTTGTAGGTATCTAGCATTATAGAACATTTTAATGAGATAATCCAGAAAAATGCATTAAACACAGTCCTTGGCCTACATAGGGTTCAATAAGTGTTGATCTCCCTACTGCTTTCTGTCTTTCCGTAGTTCTTTTTACCAAGCAGCTCACTGTTCGATGAGAAACAACCATTGTTTGTTTTCCTTGGCTAACTGGGAGGCTCTCTGCTGTTTTTGATAAAGATTTTGGTAAARCAAAGTGGTTAATTTGGTCATTTTTGTTTCCTTTTATTTATCTCCTGTGTTTTGGTATAACGAGGATTTAGTATAGCTGTTAATACAAAGTAAATCTTCAATTTTATTACCCACCCATCAGCAAACTAGCTTTTGCGAAAATTGAAGCTAAAAGTTATTTGATAAATGTTCTGTCCTTCTCAATAGTGAAAACTGGCCTGAAAATCATTTTTCAAGGAGCTTTTTCCAAAGGTTTCGAGTTCCTTCAAGCCTTTAAGAAGTTGGAAATGTTATTAAGCATTTTGATTTCTTTTCCTTTCATCTCCTGTTTAGAAATTAATGTCTTGAAAAATTGGCTGCAAATGTTAAGGTTTTTTAAAGATATGAAATCTATTCATCTGTCTAATACAACTGCAACATGTTAAAAAGCATTGGTTCTTTGCTAGACATCTTGGCCAATCTTGGAAAGATTTTTGTCTTTACGTTCTAGACCTTTAGATGCCTTCTATTTTCCTTTTTAGCACTTGGAAAACAAAGCCCTTCAATAATTTTCTCAAATGAAAATTTCAACATGCATTCAGTCTCTGCTCCTTGTAAGGGACTGCAAGATAGCAAGGCCTGGTCCCATTCCTATGTTTCATAAAGAGAGATGATAGATGAAAAGGTAATTTATTTATTTATTTATTTTAAATTTTTTTTTTTTGTTAATGAAGTGTTTATTTCTCTATTCAATCTGTTTCCTTTCATGTACTTTGTACCTTTGTCAATGAATAGATAGATGATAAATAGATAAGAGATAGGTAGATAGGTAGGTAGGTAGATAGACAGACATATAGCTGTTATGCCTTCTTTTTTTATTTTATTTTATTTTAATTTTTATTGTTGGTTGTTCAAAATATTACATAGTTCTTGATATATCATACTTCACACTTTGATTCAAGTGGGTTATGAACTCCCATTTTTACCCCATATACAAATTGCAGAATCACATCGGTTACACATCCATTGATTTACATATTGCAGAACGGCCCTCGGATTTCCTGTTTCTTCCCTCTAGTTTGTCTCTTCTTTTCCCTGCAGAATGCATCAGTGTCCGTTCTAAAAGGTCCTCTAGGTTCATCTTCTTTTTTTGTGGATCATTGTTGCATACAACTTTGTGTAAAACTGCAGTTCAGGAGCAGCCCCTATATGTCTGCATATGGGTGTACATATGGTCGATTTTAGCTTTAGCTTCAAATTTCCTTGAATACGTAGACTGTGTGTATTCCCATAATGGTAGCTGAGCAATTTCTTTGCTATGGCTCAATTTCTTTCTCTCCTTCTGCATTTCCCTCTCCTTTCCCTCTATATAGTAGTAACTTTCCTAAAAGGCTCATTAAAAAAAAAAATCCATAACACGCATGCAAGCAGGCGCCAGGAAATTTAAGTTTATATAACAGTCCCATCCCATTTGGCTGTTTGGCTGAAGCTGGCTGTGTAAAGAGAATGGAATTTGGTGTTGTGATTGCCTTGCTGATGTGTGCACACTGCTCCAGCATGAGCCTCACCATCCACTTCTACTCATCGACTGCCAGGATGTGCACAACCACAGCCTTCAGTTGAGACATACAATCTACATGGAAATGGACCAGGCAGCCTGAGCTGTGTGCTCTGCTTCATCTGGCCACTTCTGTAGGCTCAATAGCCATTGTCAGAGGAATTATGTTGGACCCAGTATTTCAGTACAGTACCACCTCTGACTTCCAGAGGTCATTTTTTAACACCCCCAAGGCCGCAAACATGTAACGTATTCACTTTGTGACACCACTTAGCTGAGCTACCTGGGCAGTTTTTCCTATAATAAAAGCACCAACCCAACTATCAATCTCCTTTGTGTTGGAGAGTAAGGCACTTAGGCATCTTTAATGTGGCCAAGGGTACAGGTTAAGTGTCAAAATGATTAATTAATTGGCAGTTGGTTTCTTTTACAAGGACTATTCATGGAGATTCTATTATATTTCAGTTATACTTAAAATAGAATGGTTAAAAGGAAAGATATGGTCTGTATTTTCATGAAGTCCTGTGTGGTACTAGGGAGGCAGACATTGAACAATAAAGAAACCATTTATTATTTAATCACAACTGGGCATAGAGCTACAAAGGAGAAATAGAAATAGCTGCATTCCATGACAGCAACTAATAAGATGTATGATTTCATCTCAAGTCTCAGAAAGGAAATGAGCGCTAAGCTTAATGTAATTCTAGGAAGTGTATGCAAGGGGCTTGGGGTGAAGTATGAGAAGGATATTCCAGGAAGCGCTAGAATGGCTTGTGCAAAGACCTTGGGGAGGAAGGAATGTGGTATATGCCGGGGTCCAAAGGAGGCTCAGTGTGGCTGGAAACCAGTCAAGGAAAGAATGGACTGGGGAGATAGTTCTGGATCATGCTAGGCCTGCCTACCAGGTCTTGTTAATGATTTATGCTTTTTGTTAAAAGTTATAAGAAGCCATTGAAATGTTTTTGATAGTAATTGACATGATTAAATTCCTGTTTCCCTAGTAAAGTCTATTCTGACTGCAATAGCAGAACAGATTGGAAGAAAGAAAATGTGGACACTGGGATCTAAGCGACAAGGTTGTCATACTAGTCCAGAAAGAAAATCTGGCAGCTTGGCTTAGGGGAGAGCGAATAAAGGAAACAGACTAGAAGGTGATTTAGGAGATTAAACTCAAGAGGACCTGGTGACTGGATATGTGAAGGAGACAGGAGAAATCAGATATGCTTAAAGGAGGTGCTCAGATTTCTGTCCTGAATAGCTGTCTAGATGGTGTTAACTTCACTGATGCAAGGGCCTGTGAAAGGGACCAGTTGAAGAGAGGGGCAGCTGGAGAGCCTGGTTTGGTAAGGCGGGTCCGCTTTGAGATGCCTAGGGGATGGCCAGCCTGAGATGTCAAGTAGATAGCTGACTGAGTCTGAAGTTGAGACTCTGAAAATAGAGACCAGAGTATTGCGTATGTAAAATATGGCCAAGCACCGATGAGCCGTCCATCCAGGAGGTGTGGAGTCTGTGAAGTGTTCAGTCACATTTCATGAGTGTTCATCACGTGCTCCCTATCTGCCAGATCATTTGCTAAATATCTGGCACATGAAAAGGAAAAGCATTCAATAGATATTGTAGGATGTCTCTTTACTCCAAGCCTAAATTACCTTTCCTACCATCCAAGAATGGAGACTCTCAGTGCATCCAGGGAGAACTCTTAGACAGGTGAAGTCTATGTTTGGTCCTGTGTTTCCTGGTCTTTGCTTCAGTTAACTGAATCCTGTGCAAACTTAAGTTCATTTTATTCTCCTTTGGCCTTGCTAGACATAGACTAGTTGGTAAACACATCCTTGTTCTCAACTCCATGTGTTCTTAAAACCCTTCTCCCAGTTTTGAGAGACATCGCCATTGGCTTTGCCACCTTAGAGCAAGAGCTGCAGGATTGCGTCTTACACTGAGAAAGATAATGCATCTTTTTTTTTTTTTTTTTTTAAGGGAATCTGTCTTCAGGCTACAAAATATTCTTCCCATATTTTGTGAGTTACAACTTGCTGATGACTTTCAGATTATGATGATATTGACTTCAATTGTGAAAATTAGGCCACACCCCTCTAGTCTATTCCTAAAATAAGACCAGATCTATTGGCAAAATGAAATTTATAGCCTCTTTTATTTAGTTCTTACTCTTCAGAGACTCATGGCTTAAAATGGCCTACATTTTAAGACTACATTTCTCAAATTATTGTCTTTAGACCACTTGGATCAGATGCACTGGGATGTACTTGTTATAAATGAAGRTTGCTGAACCTTGTCTTACAATTTCTTTTTTCATTGTTCAAGTGGGATAAACCCCAATACATTGTATTTTAAACAAGGATCCCAAGTAATTTTTGTGTGTACTAGAATTTAAGAACCATTTTTTAAGAATGTTAAAATTTGTACAACACCTTATTAGAATTCTGAGTTGGTAAGAAATTAAATAGTTTTGCAAGCCAGTCAGTATTGTAATATTTTTCTAGATTAATCATCAAGATATAAGTATTCAAACTTTTCACAGGTATTAGTCAGTTATCCATTGATAAAAAGAAAAGAAAAGATCTCATTGCACAAATTTCTTTCCCAGTACATGCAATTTAATGTAAGGAAAGGACCAAATGGATAGGAAAAGTAGGAAAGAATGGAGGCACAGAAAAAGCATGCATGGGTGAGAGAGAAGAAATTGATAAAGAAGAAAAGGAAAGTGAATTTGGATTCTATGGTAGTTTTTTCTTGGGCATGGTACATGGTTTGTTCCAGTTGGCATGCTCTGTGAGTTTCTCTTATGCATGGTTGTACTTTACGGATGCTTCTAGAGGGGCATCCTCTTTGCTATCTCCAGAACTAGCTAAAGTCTCTGCTTACATTGCCCCCATAGGAAGAGCGCCGCGTGATTTATGTTGGTAAAATCAGACCTGACACTACACGGACAGAACTGAGGGACCGCTTTGAAGTTTTTGGTGAAATTGAGGAGTGCACAGTAAATCTGCGGGATGATGGGTGAGAATCTTCAAGATTATTTCTTGTTTAGAAGCTGACGTATGTAAAAAATTATGGCCCTAAGATTACTGGGATGGGAGTTGCCAGTGTAAGTGCTTTGACAGATGACATGTTGAGTTCAGAACCTTATTTATTTTCTTTCATCCCTATTTATTAATCTTTCTAGTTGAGATTTCCTGTCCCAGAAATAAGTATTTAGCTGCTTGACAGGACAATCACACTGATAAATGGATGCAGTAGCTCAGACGTTGGCCCCAGCAAAGTCTCCCAAAGTAGAAAGGGTTACAGTGCTGTATGTTAATGCTCCTTAACCAGTTTTGAATTTCTCTTCTTTGTCCACTGCAGAGACAGCTATGGTTTCATTACCTACCGCTACACCTGTGATGCTTTTGCTGCTCTTGAAAATGGATATACTTTGCGCAGGTCGAACGAAACTGACTTCCAGCTGTACTTTTGTGGACGCAAGCAATTTTTCAAGTCTAACTATGCAGACCTAGGTATGGATTTTATTGTACGTAGAGTGAGGAATCCATAATGTAGAGCTCAAAATGGAAGCAAACGTACTCTGCAGGCACCTTGGGTTGGAGCATCTCATCACTTTATTTTACTGGAGGGAATATTTGAATGAATTTTTTTAAAATGTATGAAACAGTTTCAGAATCAAGGGGTCCTAGGTTTTGACAATAACTGGCAGAAATAAATTCTTGTACTAGCTGCATAGGTGCTTACACTGCTCTGTGTGTGTGTGTGTTTGTGTGTGTGTGTCTTTACATGTGTTGTGTGTATGTTTGTGGTGTATAAAGTGCACACACGTGTCTTTTGTGTGGATGTGTTTGTGATCTGCTTTTCCTTTCCATACCTATCCTGAATCCTTTTTGTAAACTTAGCAGTGCCATGTTTGTTTTATGGAACAGAATAGAAGACAGTCCTATTCTCTCTTCCTTATTAATTCACAAACCCTGAAAAATATTCTTATTTTCTATGAATTGCAAGTTGAGAGGCAAAAGTGAAAGCTTCATAGGCTACATCACCTCACATTTACTTTCTTTGAAGTAGATAAGAAGATGAGCTCGTCCATGTGCTGGACACTGTGCCAGGGGCTTTGCGAGCATTTTCTCATTGAATTACCCCAGTTATTGTAGGGGGTGGACGATACCATTGTCATCCCCATTTCATAGTTAATGAGATGGAACAGTTGTATAGACTCAAGGGGTAAAATTTGGAAAATATAAAAATTATTAAGAAGAAAAGTAAAATCCCCTCTCAACCCATCTCCCAGAGATAACCACTATTACCCTCTGACTGTGTTGCTTTGCAGTGTTTTGTCTTGGAATGTCTACTTTCTTATGTTTGAGGATGTGATTCATAGGATTAATACTCTATCAACACATTTTAAGGATCATGCAGTATTTTATTGGGCAAATAATATCATTGTATTTAATCATTCCATTCCAGAGACAGATTTATTCACTCTTTAGTTTTTTGATAATATAAATAATGCTACAGTGGACATCTTAATTTCCTTTCCAATTTTGATTTTCTTCTTTTGCCTGTCATTCCTTATCTCCCGTGACGATTGTAAGCCTTTTGATTCCTTGAGGAAGGAGTGAAGGAAGGCAAATGCCTTGTGCATATAACATCATTATTCAAAATTAATTTATTATAATCATAAAATTAGCATATGCATGTATTCCTCAGCATTACCAGACATCATTGCTATCGCTCCTGCGTGGTGTAAAGAGAGAAATGAATACCAAATACAAGGATTTCTTTTTTTCTCTTTCCACCAAGTGATGTCTTCTGGAGTAATTGATATTGGTGGTGTGCATTGTTCAGAGGGAATATGCTATAATTCACTTCACAAGCTAAATAGATAGTGTGGAGCAGGGGAGAGGCCGCTGACTGTTAGAGAGATGGAGGCCCAGGGATAAAAATATAAAACGTGGCAAGTCATTTGTTCAAATGTTGGCTGATAAAAACACTCAAGACAGATTGAAGCCTTGAGTTGATTTGACTTATTTCCTTCGGTGATGAAGGCCAGGGTGTTTCTGGTCTCTCAAAACATCTAGAGTTTAAAATAAGCTACCTAGAGGGGCCTTAGATCACGATTCATCATGGTAGAGGGAGGATTGGATGGTATTTCCAAATTGAACTGGCACCTCCCTGAAATATTTCTGAGAAGCTTGCCTCCTCCCCTCCTCTCATCTCCCTGCCTAGCCAGCAGCAATAAAAACTTTGCCATTGCTGAGCTCACTCTGTATTTTCTTAGAGGTATGTTTGATGTGCAGGGTGGTAGCGTGGGATTTTCCAGTTCCCTCAAGCTCTCTAGTGGCAGGAGAGGTAGTTTCTCTGAGTGTAGGCATGGTGCCATCAAAAGATCCCTGCGTTGGAATCCTGCCAGCCTCGCTTTGCAACTTGCCTTACCACTGGTCTTGGAGAAATGATTCAACTCCACGAGCTCCTGGTTCTTCCTTGGTGAAATACCTTACCAATACTGTTGTGGAGGCTGTATTAAATAAAAGTTCAGGGAGCTGTTATCACAGTGTCTGGCAGAACATAGGTGTTCAATAAATAGTAAACGTGATCATCATTTAAAACGATCACGATGGGAAGTTAGGAATTTGGAGTTGTTTTAAGATGGAAGAATCAACACCAGGGCAAGCTTTCGAACTCTAAGAAATTCTCCCCCGGTGTCTTGTCTTTATTACCTGAAGAATGCAAATTAAGTGCTTCAGGGCACTGACTATGGTGAAAATAAGATACACTGGACTCTTAAAGGAATTGGGAATTTTTATGAATTTCAAGAATAAAGTGATAATGATGAAATATAAATTAATTTTACCAAGACAGTAAAAAAATGACCTATCAAATTAGACAGGTTGGACCAATTTTTTGTTTTTATATGCTCCTCTAAGTAAAATTAGCTGACACATCCCATTTTTCTATTATTGAAACTAGTCAAACTAACAATATTCTTAAATAGAGCAAACCATGATGATTTCAGCTACCATTCTTGAGCCCTTTCTATAAATAAGACTGAAGTTCAGTGTGACTTGCTAGAGGCCACTCTGTTGAGGCCAGGAAGTGAGACCTGATTTATATGAATCTTCAGTATCTGTGTCTTTCTACCATTTGTCTTATAAGCAAATGGATCTTTCTAATACACCTTGATAAAAAAATATTAAAGAAGAAAGACACAGAAATTATACTGGGACTACAGGATTATAATAGAAGGATGAGTCGGTATTATGAATGTAAAACTTTTGATCAGGAAGTAGTTATATGTAATACTGATGTTCCAACATATAAGGAAAGTGAAATATCACATCCATCATGAATTCCTTTTTAACCCAGAAATGTATGAAAATATTAGCATTTTGAATATATGCATAATTTTACATACACCCTCTTCCTTTATTAGTAAATAATTCCCAGATCCCAATACAAATGTTTTCAACCATGGTTTGAATAATATACAGGCTTTTGAGATTCATATATTCATTCAACAAACATTAATTTGAATACCTACCTAGTGTCCACGTTTCCAAATGTGATGTGATTTGCTTCTCTTAATACAGTATCATTATTTATAATAATACCTTTTGAAAAATAGAGTGGCTTTTAAGTTAGTCCTAGAAAATTCTTCTCCTATCTTCTGAGTTCCACCATCCTTCTGTTAGTGGGAGGAAAAGTGGCAAAGTGAATATTATTGTCTCAGAAATGTGACCACATTCTATTTCATGCAACAAAATAGATTTCTTTTTTTGGGGGGGAGGTTACCTGTTGGGTGACACAGTATGATTGTACAACAGTACAGGTGTCAACACTTCCCAGTTAAAAAACTGTTGAAAATAAAAATACAGAAACACTGAAGTTCTGGTGTCACTTAGAATAATCCAAATTTAGGAAATTTAATTATTCTCAAAATTCTCAAAATGAAGGAAGAGTATGTGTTCATATTCTTGATGGCTTCAGGCTGCCTTTTGTCACATGAACCACCATCTGGGCAAATCACCCATCCTGATATAGAAGGCAAAAGGAGGCTGATCTCAAACCCCTTTGCACCAAATGACACTTTGTCTCTACAAAAAAAAAAAAAAGTTGATTTGAATAACAGCTGCTCAGGACGCCTTAGTAATCTAAGCAAACCACTCATTAGACCATGAAAGAGGGCCATACCCAGTGTAATTTAAGAGTTGAGTATTTGGGATATTACCGGGGAAAGATAGAACCTTTTTATCTTTGTTTTTATGTCTGTGCAAAACTGTGACTCTTGTTGTTCTTACCCAGACAATCTTGTGGGGAAACGTGAACAAGGGATGGTAAGAATGAAAGAAAAAGAAAAGTAAAGGAATTTCCTTGTCTTAAAATCTAAGCAAGTGAAAGTTGATGGAAGGGGTCGGGGGCAGCAGAAAGTCAGCCTGGTGCTGGGGCACTTGGAGCTCTGTAGTTCTTTCAGCAAAACAATTCTGTCAACAATTGCACTTCCATTTTATCTATTACGCTCTTCTATCACTTGGAGCATTTCTTGTGTAATTGACTTGGGAATGCTCATATTTTAGTAGAACTGTTAATGTGTTCCAGAAAGGTCTTGTTTTCCCTTCAAATTAATGTTTTTCAAATAATGAATGTATTTGTAAGAGGCTTTTTATTATACTTCCAAGCCAACCTTTCTCACTTGCAAAAGACCAGCAGGAAATATCTGACTTCTTTGTAGATGTCAATGGAGAAAAATTATAACTATGTAACAGAATTGCATTTTACATTCCACACTGTGGAAGCACATCTGTTTTGTTAAGGGTTATTTGAAGGAGCACGTGGAATTTTGCACAAAATCTGACTCGGGCTAGTTTAAGGTTTCAAGAGTTTGGTTTTATTTATAGCTGTATATTTGTTCTCTTCTATTAATGAGTAAAGAGGGTGAATGTACCCTCCCGGGCTCTGAAACATTTGTCTGGATCTAATTTGGGGCGAGTTTGCACCTCTGCTGCTGGAGTGTGTAGAGGTTCAGGGGTAGACGCCGGGGTTGACTGTATGTCCCTCCTGCCTCAAAAGGGATATAGCAGGTTGGAGACCACGAGAAGTTCTGTTGGTTCTCTTTGTCCCACTTAACTGGCTTGTATGCTTAATGGGACTAACCCCCGTGAGGAGGACATGAGTTCCAGTTTGTGCTGATTCTGCATCTAAGTTATTGAGAAGTCCTAAGCAAGTCACTTATGTCAGTGGGAAGAGGAGGATGGTTATCTATAAAACAGAGGTATTAAGTGTGCCCTCCCCCCTCAGAAGTGTTTCAATCTTAAAAAAAAAATCGATAGGTATATGTTTTTGGAACTTCATGGCTACCTGCTCTGCATATATACATGCATATATCCAATAACATCTGAGCATTGCTTTTTAAAAGCATATTGATGGGCCAAATTGCAAGTGAATGGGATAATCTTGAATTGGGATGCTTGTGTTAATGGCCGCCAGCAAGGAGTGTATCTAACCTGGCTTGGGTTTCTTTCAGATTCAAACTCAGATGACTTTGACCCTGCTTCCACCAAGAGCAAGTATGACTCTCTGGATTTTGATAGTTTACTGAAAGAAGCTCAGAGAAGCTTGCGCAGGTAACATGTTACCTGGCTGAGGACGACAGAGATGGTGAATACCTCACGGGACAGCGCGCCCTTCCCTAACAGACTATTGCAAGTCATACTTATGAATTTCTCCTCCTTTACACTCTCTGTACAAAAACAAAACAACAAAACAACAACAATACAACAAGAACAAGAACAACCACAACAACAATGGTTTACATGAGCAGAGCTGCTGAAGAAGCAAGAGACAGAGTGATATCCAGTAAGCACAAGTTTATTTATGGGTGTCAGCTTTGCTTTCCCCGGAGTCTTTTGGTGACTGTGTGTGTGTGTGTGTGTGTGTGTGTGCGTGTGTTCATGTGCATGCATGCGTGCATGCATGTGTATGGGTACGTGTGCACATGTGCACGCTTGGTTTGGGGGAAGTGTGTGTGTGTGTGTGTGTGTGTGTGTGTGTGTGTGTGTGCCTGTGAGGACTAGGGGCACCTGACCAGAATGTGCAAGGGCAGACCACTTCAAATGGCAGCAGTTCCATGAAGACACACTTAAAACCTAGAACTTCAAAATGTTCACAATCTATTCAAAAGGAAAAAAATATATATATACATATATACATATAAATTTAAAAAGGAAAGAAAACTAATCAATCAACCACAAAACAACCCTAATACGACAGCTGCTGATGTCCAGGGCATCGGCCTCCGTACTCTGTTTTTTAAGAAAGTGCAAAATCAACTTGAAGCAAGCTTTCTCTCCTCACCTAATGATTATGTGACAATCCCGAAGAAACCACAGGTTCCGTAGAACTAACATCCTCTCCCTCTCTTTCTCTCTCTCTTTTTCTCTTCCCTCCTGCTTTCTCTCTTTCTCTTTTTTTTCTTTCTCTCTCTCTCTTTTCTTTCTTTCTTTTCCCTTTTCCTTTTGCCATGGAATCTGGGTGGGAGAGGATGCTGCGGGCACCAGAATGCTAAACTTTCCTAACATTTTGAAGTTTCTGTAGTTCGTCCTTTGTCCTGACACCCATGTAAATGTCCAAAACGTTGATCTTCCACTGCAAATCTTAAAAGCCTTGTCAATGGTCAAGCGTGCAGCTCGTTCAGCAGTTCTTCCCGAGACGCGGACGCGGTGTTACATTACAAAGGAGAGTTGAGTAGAACTCTCTGGATGTGTTCAGATAGTGTAATCGCTACATTCTCTGATGTAGTTAAGTATTTACAGATGTTAAATGGAGTATTTTTATTTTATGTACATACTATAAAACGATGTTCTTTTTTGTTACAGCTATGCACTGTATATGCAGCCTTCTTTTCGAAACTGCTAAATTTTTCTTAATCGAGAATATTCAAATGTAATTATGAGGTGAACCAATTATTGTACACTAACATATTTAGAAGCTGAACTTACTGCTTATATATATTTGATTGTAAAAAACAAAAAACAAAAAACAAAAGACAGTGTGTGTGTCCGTTGAGTGCAACTACGAAAAAAAAAATGACGCTTTACGCACATCCATCCCTCCTTTCTTAGGTGAGCTTCTATCTGAGCATCTTGTCAAAAACTATCCTAGTCCCCTCAAGGTATTAACCACTTCTGCGATATTTTTCCACATTTTCTTGTTGCTTGTTTTTCTTTGAAGTTTTATACACTGGATTTGTTAGGGGAATGAAATTTTCTCATCTAAAATTTTTCTAGAAGATATCATGATTTTATGTAAAGTCTCTCAATGGGTAACCATTAAGAAATGTTTTTATTTTCTCTATCAACAGTAGTTTTGAAAATAGAGGTCAAAAATCTTTTTAAAATGCTGTTCTGTTTTAATTTTTGTGATTTTAATTTGATACAAAATGCTGAGGTAATAATTACAGTATGATTTTTACAATAATTAATGTGTGTCTGAAGACTATCTTTGAAGCCAGTATCTCTTTCCCTTGGCAGAGTATGACGATGGTATTTATCTGTATTTTTTACAGTTATGCATCCTGTATAAATACTGATATTTCATTCCTTTGTTTACTAAAGAGACATATTTATCAGTTGCAGATAGCCTATTTATTATAAATTATGAGATGATAAAAATAATAAAGCCAGAAGAAATTCCCCTAGGATGCATGGCGGTTGTCAGGTGGGAGTGTAAACTCTTCATTGGGGAAACTCGCCTTTTGCAGAAGCAGTGTTTCTACTTGCACTAGCATGGCCTCTGACGTGACCATGATGTTGTTCTTGATGACATTGCTTCTGCTAAACTCAATAAAAAAACTTCAGAAAAACCTCCATTTTGAGCATCAGGATTTCATCTGAGTGTGGAGTCCCTGGAATGGAATTCACTGACGTTTGGAGTGTGTATTCAAGTTTCTAAATTGAGATTCGATTACTGTTTGGCTCCCGTGACTTTTCTGGAAGATGTGACATACCTACTACTTAAGCGTTCTTTTCCTTTCTCTCGCCCAACACGATCTTATACAATGGGTCTCACCCCCAGGCCAATGCAGCGGATTTTGACGGCTGCAGTCATTTATCACCAGCATACTGTGTTCTGAGTGAATCCACTGTCTGTCCTGTCGGATGCTTGCTTGAGTTTTTGGCTTCTTATTTCTAAGTAGATAGAAAGCAATAAAAATACTATGACAACATAAAAGAACTTGTTCACAGGTTCTGCGTTACAACAGTAACACACCTTTAATCCGCCTAATTCTTGTTGTTCTGTAGGTTAAATGCAGGTATTTTAACTCTTTGTGAACGCCAAACTAAAGTTTACAGTCTTTCTTTTGGAATTTTGAGTATCTTCTGTTGTAGAATAATAATAAAAAAAAAGACTATTAAGAGCAATAAATTATTTTTAAGAAATCGATATTTAGTAAATCCTATTATGTGTTTAAGGACCAGATGCGTTCTCTATTTTGCCTTTAAATTTTTGTGATCCAATTTTAAATACATCCTCTTTTTCGCCCTGGATTGTTGACATGAGTGAACTATTTGGTTTCTTTTCTCACTTATCAAGAGACAACACTACAGACTTCATGTTGAGGATTAATGTATCCCCTCCCCTCCAGTCTGACAAATATTGTCACCATGAAGATAGTTTTCCTCCATGGATGTCAAATCGCATCTCAAATTAGTGGAGCATTTGTACCTTATGCAGACACTGTGGGTAGCCCATCGAAACGTAAGCTGTGTTCCTTTTATTTTTAATTTTAATTTTTTTTTTTTGGAGAGAATATTTCCAGTGAACACGTGCACCCCATCTTCACAGGAGGCAATTTCAGCATAGATCTGCAGGGTTTTTAGATGACCCAGGCCATTGCCTTCATACTGTGGTAAGTACCACATCTACAATTTTGGTAACCGAACTGGTGCTTTAGAAAAGTGGGATTTTTTTTTTTTTAAAGAGATGTAGCAGACTAATTCTTCCAGTGCACCCAAATCAATTTTTGCTAAATGACTCCAGGAACACCAGTCGGGCTGTCAACATTCAAAGCAGCAGAGAAGGAACTTTGCACTATTGGGGTAGGACGTTTGGGTCAGTTGAAAAAGGAAACCTTTTCATGCCTTTAGATGTGAGCTTACAGTAGGTGATGATTCTGTGTCCTTCTTTGATGGCTGTAACGAGAACTTCAATCACTGTAGTCTAAGACCTGATCTATAGATGACCTAGAATAGCCATGTAATATAATGTGATGATTCTAAATTTGTACCTATGTGACAGACATTTTTCAATAATGTGAACTGCTGATTTGAAAGAGCTACTTTAAGATTTGTAGGTGAAAGTGTAATACTGTTGGTTGAACTATGCTGAAGAGGGAAAGTGAGAGATTAGTTGAGCCCTTGCTGGGCTTTTTCTTCCACCTGCCAATTCTACATGTATTGTTGTGGTTTTATTCATTGTATGAAAATTCCTGTGATTCTTTTTTTTTTAATGTGCAGTACACATCAGCCTCACTGAGCTAATAAAGGGAAACGAATGTTTCAAATCTACTTTTGCTTTTCTTATTTATCGTAACCCAACTGCTGGCATGCTTCTCAGATCAGTACACATTCCTTGCTTATTATGATTCTGTTTCCTCTCTGGTTCTGTCCCCCTTCTCCCTGCTTTTCCATATTCATGGATGCATTTCAGCTCTAAGGAAATGGGTGCCTCCTGGATTTTACCTTGTCTTCTTTCAAGCTGTAAAGGCAGTCATGGTGATTTCTGTAATGAACGTTTGGAGGTGAAAAGTGACATGGGGCTTTATCAAACCGAATAGCTCAGTTTTTGTTCTTAGCCCTGGAAAGTGTGTATTTTTTAAGTAGAAGCTACTGTCCCTAGGGAGGGTCCTGTTAAATATTCAGTGTAGGAAGTAATGTTACTGTAGATGGACTGGATCTGTTCAAAGACGTACAACAAGATGTAGCCCTTGTCATCTGTAAGTCATCTGTTTACCTATGGGATGAGCTGGTAAATGCTGATGTGTTTTCTTGTCAGGATGTCCATTGTGCCTGGGGGTTGATGGTGGTCCTGATGACAGGGAATCCGGTGTTAGCCTTTTGCCCTCCCTAATTTCAGATGGTCCTTGCCACTCTCAACCTCTTGCACTGCAAAATCTAGCATCAGCATAGCATTGGGGCAAGGGAGCTAAGTGTATCCTAGCCCTCTCCCAAAAGTCCCCTAGAAAGTGAAGAATGTTGGTAAATATTGGAAATGAGATAGAACTATCCAGAATGCTATCCAGCATCCAAATAAATGGATTGTCTCTGCTGAGGTTTTAGATTTTTATGGTGAGGAAGGGAGGAGGGGAGGTCATGGGTAATACTGAAGAAGGAAATTGACCAAATGATGCTATGTCCAACTACAAATATACAACAATGGATGTCCTATATAAAGATAGATAGATAGTGYACTAATTAAAATAACAATAACAGAAGGGAGATCAATAGAGTAGAATAAGTGGATGAGGGAGGGAGGAAGAGTGAGAAAGGAAGGTACTGGGAAGGAGACTGGGTAAATTATGTTATGTGCATGTACTGCTTTGGCACAATGGATCCCACTATCGCATATAATTATAATGTGCCAATCAAAAGTCACAAGAAATACTTTTAAAAATGTGCAAACAACATTCAGAAGTGCTCCCTGTGGTGCTACTTCTATTTTATACCACTGATAAAATTTGTCAGTATTTTATCAATATATRAAATGAAGTTACTATTATTTCAAATACTGTATTTATTGCCTTCACTTTGCTTAAATTATGTAGGGCTTCTTTCATCTTTCGATGGGAGGCAGCAAGGGTATCAGAAGGATTTCTTGCTTAAAGGGTTAACTTTTTGTTCTAATAAACTCTTTGAGGACAGAGAGAAAATAAGGAATTTTAAAAAGCAAGAAATAGCTACTAGTTTGGTACTGGAGCGTCCTGATT